GCAGGAAAGTTCACAGCAGCTCGATGGCCTTCATCCCAGTGCCAGTGAAATAATTGTAATCCAGCAACATTGCCCAGCAGGGAAGCAGCTCGTTTTCAAAACACAGAAAGAGTGAGGAAACTAACAACTCTTCAGCTGTGAAAAATGAGGATTTTGCTTTCTCCAGACAGGATGATTCATATTTTCAGTGGTGTTTGCTACAGTTCTTAGTTTTGGTTTGAATTATTGTGCCCAGGCTTTTTGAGCAGGAGGACTGGATTGATATTAGTGTTGTCTCCTGAAGCCCAGCACTAGTTTTGATCTCAGGCCTGGCTATGATGCAGCAGTGTGCATTGTTGTGAGATGAAGATTAAACCCTTTCTAGGCCTCTTTGGTCATCTGACAAGCAGCCCTGACCTGCTTTGAAAGGAGTTCTATCCAGAAAAAAACAGCCAGTGGACTCTCAGTTTAATCCCCTGAAATGCCCGAGAACATTCTTGCCAAAATAGATGTACTTTTCTTTTTCAGAGCTCTCTGGATATGATTGAAATGTCAGGCTTCATTTGTGGCTATATATCCTGTGTCTTCTACTTGGGAAGTAGATTTCCTCAGCTGTATAAAAATGTAAGTAGGTTTTTTTGGCTATGCACACTTACATATTTTACAAAACACTCTCTCTTGCTTTAGGTGTTGGATTCTCCCCAACTGTGAGCCCTCCTGAGCTCAAAGGCTTGCCTGGCTTTGGTGACTAAATTGGTTAAGAGGAAAAATGGGGCTTTTTTTCCCATTCAGAAGAGGACAGTGAGAATTTCAGGAAAATTATGGTCTTTGATTGATGGCAGAGGACTGATTGGCTGGGGAGGAGGGAGTGCTTGGGTTTGTCAGTTGGGCTTGTCAGCCACGAGCAGAACCAGGCTCTGTGTGGTGGTTGTCACAAGCAAGTGCTTGTGCCTTTTCTTTCTCCAGACTTCTACCCTAAGTGACCAACCATGGGATCAGAAGTTGGAATCAGAGGAAAATTAGTTCAGAATGTGTATCCCTTTTTCACAAAGATGCTGTCACTGACTTCCCCCCCAGCCTCTTCACTGCCATTATGTTAAAAAAAACCCTAAACCCACAACAACAGAAAGTTCTATTTACATTGTCACTTATATACAGACATTTTATTGGAGTTCATTTCCAGGACTATCCATGTTCTCCCTTTACCTTTCCCATCACAGCCAGAAGGCCACAATGTTTTCAAAAGTCTCTACTAAACAGACTGATGGAGCAACAGGTTTCCTAAGAACCAAGTGCCATTTGGAAGCAGACTGTCCTTGCTGCTTTGCACTTACATAAAAATTACATTAACCAGAGATGCCTCTGAGAACTGGAACAGTTTCTGTCATTTTGGGTGCTGAAAGTACTAAGCTGGGAGGATTCAGAGCCCAGAAGGAGATGGCCAAGACTGACTGAAAGTCTGGGGGTGTGTTGTTGTGGTGCAAAATGCCAAAATAATCCATGAGTGGCTGGGTTATACACGTGTCAACAGCTCTTCCTTAAGTTTTCCCTTGTATTCAGTTCCAAAGAAGATCAACTGAAGGCACCTCCTACCTGCTCTTTGCCTTGGTCATGATGGGGAACTGCACCTATGGGCTGAGCCTGGTCTTCAAGATGCCAGATGCCAAACCCCTCCGAGCCCTCTACTTGTTACACCACCTTCCATGGCTCATTGGGAGCTTTGGAGTTTTGTTCTTAGACATTTTTGTATCCTTTTTCTTTGAGCTGGAGTCTCTCCTTATTAACTAGATCAGAAATCAAGTAGATTTTTTTTATATATATATCATCAATTTTTTTTTTTCTAGCATTCTAACCTGATGATACAGTCTTCTTTCTGAACAATAATTCATATGATTTTAATATTTCTTGATAGGAATAACGAGTTGATAGAAAATATCTACATTCAAGCTACATTGCACAGGTTAATTCCTATCTTGTAACTGATGTATAGGGTACTAAAAGTTGGGGGGTGAGGTTTTGCATATTTTTCTTACATTTTCTGTCTAATACATGTAAAAACAAACAAAAAAAAACCCCAAGCAAACCAAAACAAACCCCAAACCTGCTTGTTTTTGAATGCAAATATAGAATTACAGCCTTGAGACTTCAGTTAAATTGTGCTATTGCAAGATTGCATCAACCTCAGAGACAGAAAATGAGGTTTTGGCAAACTTTGTTATAGAAAATAGCACTTGACAAAGAAATGCTATCCTGAACTGCAAGATTTGGGGCAAGATCAGGTGCACTGAGGCACAGAGTGCCCCTGAAAGCCAGCAGCCCTGCTCAGCAGGCTGTGCCAAGGGCTGACCAACCACACAGGGCTCTAGATTAGGATGCCAGTTTCTTGAAAGTCCTGAGCAAACTTAAAACACTCTAATTTTTCATTCTGATATTCAGGGGTCCTCCCTAAGGAAGGCCACAATATATTTGATACTGTTAATCGTGCTCTTTCTGCATGAGCATGAGCATTTTGTGATCAAGAAGTGAAAAGCAACATGTTTGGAGCAATAATGTACTTTTGCTTTCAAAGCCTTGTGAAGGGTGATGTGGTGGCACTTGGTCCTGCTGTTGGCTCTAGGCTCATAGTCACCTGTCTGGTTACTATGGCTTGTATTTTCACTTAAAAGAGTATAAAGAGGAAGTTTTCTGATTTGTCCTGAAGTAAGAATTTTAGCTTTGTGTCTGAAAACATCTTGGTACATGGCCCCATGAGCTCAGAGCATAAACCAGGATGAAATGAGGAGTGATCTCAGGACCATGCTGAAGCACATTGTGCTAATCCGTTCCATATTCAAAGGAAGCTCTTTACCAGATTGACCTGGAGCAGCTCCAGAAGTTATGATTCCCAGGCTTGTCTTTCTGATTAAAGTCGTTTCATGAGCCCCTCCAATCAGAGCAGGGGTGGGACAGCCCACCCTGGCCTTTGCCCGGGCTGCTCAATTATTCTGTCATTCCCAAGAGCCTAGCTGGGCTTCTTTGCATCTCCAGCCATGGCAGTTTCAGTGGGCAGTTGGGTAAAACATCCTGCGTGGTGGGAGCACAAAGCTCCTCTGCAGTGGTGAGTCAAAGCTGTGGGTCATGGGCTGCTTTTGGGGTAAATCAGCAGGGTTTGGGCACCTGGGGCTGCTGGCCCCTCTGGCTGGGGTGACCTCCAGGTCTTCTGCTCCATGAACCGAGGAGAGACTCTTCCTTCCATCCCCATTCCCCCCCAGCTGGAAACATAAACCAGCCACTGTTTATTTATCCCCAAAAACAACCCCTAGAATTTGATCTTGATGACCCTTACAGTACGTTACATGCACATTTGCAGATGCCTTTCTATGCTGTACTCTGAGAGGGAACTTTTGTATTGGCCACAAAGCTCCCCCCTCCCTGAGCCCTGCCCCAGGACTGCAGTGCCAGTTTGCACATGACATTCATTGCTGGGTTCTGTCTTGATTGGGGTCTGAATCCAATCTTGCTAATAGTCCTCCAGTTCAAGTGATATTGAAAACAGATGCTTCCAAATCAGGTTGAGGAGCTTAGAAGAATCTAGTCAAGTATGGAGGGTTAGTTGAAAATGTATGAAGTATTTGTAATCAAGAGAAAACAAAAGCAGACCTCCTGCTTTGAGAAGCCCTGAAGGTATGGAAGGCAATGCTTTTAAAGACAGCTCCATTCCTGCCTCTTGCCAACCAAGGAAATCAAAACTCTAACAAACCAATACGTCACGTCAGGCCAGAAAATGAACAAGAGCACCTGTGTGTTGGAAAACAGAGGAATTAAACCAAAAACGACATCATTTCTAAGAGGGAGGTGTGTCATAACTGATCATTTGTGTAACAGACAGTCTCCATTTTGAGGAGGAGTTGCAGAAATTGCTGAGTTCTAGTAGACTCTATTCCTGATAGTGTCCAGAGCTTCATTAGGTGGAAAAGAAACTCCCATTTCTCAAGGTCCAAGCAAGGATTAAGGGTTCCCTTACTTGGTGTCTGCTGCAGAATTCATTTGCTTCCATCTGACACCACTGGCACTGACTGTTTTTAGAAGCAAATGGACTCCTGGTCATGTCTGGAACAGCAGCTCCAGTGTTACCAAGGGCAGGATCACTCTTGAGGTGTTTCAGCTCAGTTTAACAGGGTAACATGACCATCCTGTTGCCCTGGTGTCTACAGTTAAAGTTACTTGGTTGCACAATAAGCCTGTTATTTTCAACAAATAAGGGAAGTGTCCAGCTGTTTGTAAAGCATGAGTTGTCCTTTTCCTTTCAAGAGGAGTTTCACAGCATTACACGTGAGATTGGTAAATTGGACACGATTTTCTTTTCCAGGAGGAGTTTCCTTCCAGCTGCCCCTTTGTGGTGGTTGGAGTTTCTTGGGGTATCTGGACCTGTGCAGGGGCCTTGGCAGCCAGAGACACTAAGGCCAGGTTTGTCTACCACACTGGCTCCCCTGTGGACCTCACCTGACCTTTATTTTATGCCCACGATTACTTAATGTTCCACTTGTACCCCAGGATGCAACACCACATATTTTAAAACCATGCCCAGCTCTGCCCATGGGTGTTTAGCAGCAGCCACCACCAAGTTCCTAAGAGGCTGAATCTGGTACAAGTTTTTCCAGAAAACTTTGTCCTTTTCTGTAAGTCTCCCACCCTCTTTCACCTTTCCTCCTTCCTCCCCTGCTCCCACCAAAACCAAACAACTCTGTATTTAGTTCAAAGCCCTTTACCAAGTGTTTTGCCTTTTTTTTTTTTTTTAATTTGTATTATTTGACATCACCCTATTGTCAGATGGGTGACAATATCCTGTGCTCAAATCCTCCACATGGACTTCTTTTCATTAAGTGTACCAGGTTGTTACTAGACAGCCAAAGTACATTCAGCAAGAGCCAAGCTGTTGTACACACAGCACCTCTCCTGCACCTTTTGTGATGTGCAGGGCAACCCCTTGGAATCCATTATATACTTCTACAAAAAAAAAATCACCCTTTGGAATTTAATTACTCTGCAAAGAATGTCAAGCTGACCTGACAGTGCAGCCAGAAGAGTTTCCCAGCCAAACAGGCAACTGCACACCTATAAATACCTGGTTTTGCCTCCAAACTGTTCTGGTTTTTTTGAATTGTCGTGAAATTGGCCAATTTAATGAAATCAAGTTTGATACAGGAGCTCAGTGGCTGTCAAGAACTTTACTCAAGCAGGTCAGTTAGGTTGTCTGCTCCTCTTTGGGCTGTCTGGATGCTGAGGTCTTCAAGCTTCTCCTTGAAAGTCAGACTTGAGCAAGTTAGTTCCTGTATTAAATAGTCTCGGCAGTTCAGCATTTATTTAAAAATCTGAGCAGCTGAGTCCATATGCTGCAAAAAACATTCTGGAAAAGCTCCTTGATAAGCTCCACATCACCTGTGTTTAGAGTTTATTCCTCCTTCAATCTCTTCTGCTGTTGCCAACTTGATGGCTGAGAGGGCCAGTCCCCAGTGCTACAGCCCAGGCCCAGCCCAGGCCCACAGGAGGATTTCAGCAAATTAGATTCCCAATTCAGAGTGGGTTTTTTTTCCCACCAGAGCAATGATGAAGACTCATGGAGCTGCCCAGCTGCAAAATGCCTAGAAAAAGGGGGAAAAAAAATAATAAAAAAGGCAGGAAATTTGAGCAGTACCTATAGAGGCTGGAACACTGATGTGCTAAGCTCTAAGAAGAAATCCTTCCCCACATCATGCCATGGAATGATGACAAAAGGACCTGCTGTCTCTGAAGAAAATCCTGTCTAGTTTTTAGCCAGGGGGGGCCTCAGATGTGGGATGCTGGAAAACTTTGGGAAAATGGGATCATTCCTGGGGCTCTGCCTAGGGTGGAGAGAATTTCCTCTCCATTCATCCAGGCCTCCCAGAAATTTTCCTCCTTCCCCCCTGTTTTTATAAATAATTACATCCATTAGTCTCAAACTTCTCACAACCACTGTCTACCAGCCAAGTTACAGAGCACTGGAAAAACTGCTAATTTAAAAAGGGCAAATACCTACTTGTTAATTCCTGTTAGATTGGCAGTATTTCCAATGCTCTGGTTTACAATGGAAATAAATAATTCTGTCTCATTGCACAATTCTGTGCTGAAAACAGCATTAAATATTGAGTCCTAGTGTTGTCTGCATGTCAGGGCCTGTAAATACCAAACTGCCTAGAATTTTGCAGGAAAGGAGCATTATTTATTTAATTTTTTTCCCCTGATCAGGCCCTGCTGATTAATTGCTGAGAAGAGTTTGGAAGAGTTTCCCTCCCTGCCAGCACCACCCTCAGCCCAGCCCTCACTATTCAGACCTCTGAGGCTGGAGGGGTCCAGGGCAGTGTGTTTGATCCCACGTTGCTCCTAGATGAACCTTCTTCTTGTCCTGCTACTCATGAATTTCCCCCTGAGCACCCTGGCAAGCACAAGGATGAGGTAGAAAAGGGTGTTTTCCTGTGCATTTCAGCCATATAACCAAGGAGATCTGGAGCTTTGAGGTAGCATTTTCCTCTATGTTCCCTTTCCTAGCATTGCAAGCAAAATGGGATTAAACTTTTCTGCCATAAAGAAGCACTAAAAATGAGTGTTAAGCAGGATTTGGAAAAGGTTATATGCTAATGCAGAAAAATTCCACAGCTGGGATTAAATCAATGGATAAGACTTACAGTACATGAATTAGACACAGCAAGTTTTAAGCTTCCCTCTGTGGACTGTGGCATCCAGAGGCTGTGCTGGAGCTAAATGGATGGCTGCTGTGATTCTGTACAGCTCCTTTTGGCTTTAATTGAAAGCCAGGGCTGCAAATGCTACCCCTGCATCCTAGTTGATCACTTCCTTACCCAGCAACACCAGGTGACTGTGCAGTTCCTGCTGTACCAGCAGCAGAAGGAGAGAGAAGCCGGGTTGGTGGCCCTGGAAGTGGAACCACTGCTGGTGAGCGAGGAGGAGCCTGGCTAGTGCCAGGCTGGATCTGGCTCCTTTCTCCTTGGATCTTGTTCTTGGATGACTCTGACAAACAGTTAAGGTGGCAGTTGCTTCGGGACCAAACGCATTGCTTCTCTCTCATTATTCCTTTTGCCATTACTTATTTGCAGATGACATGCCAATAATAAAAGAGTTAACATTGCCTGTGTTGTTTCTAGGATAGATGCAATTTTTGGTTCCTGATCTTTCCCCCCCACCCCCAATTTTAGCTTTTTCTCCCCAAAGTGTGATAGAGAGTCAGAAAGAGATGCTGTAGAAATATTGATTTGACATCATGATACAGTGCATGTGATGGGATGACTGTTTTTAGATGGACATGTACTTGTAGGTGACAGAGCATGGGTGGGATTAGCCCTGAACGTGCCCTGACCCAGCTTGGAGTTCCAGGCTGCCCAGTCCAGCTGCATTCTTTGTAAGTCTGGCCTTTGTTATGCATACTTGGTTTTGGTTTTAAGTTACTAATTAAGTAACTTCAGTGCAGAGGATGCCACATTGGTGCAAAAGCAGAATCCTGGTGTAGGTTGGTGGGAGCCTCGTGTGCAGCTCCTCCCAGAGCATCACTCTGCATCCCAGCTGGAAGAGGTAAAGCATTTCTGCATCAGCATCTCTGTGTTCCAAGGAATATAATTACTGTGTGTCATCCTACACCCCCTGTCATTTCCATCTACAACATGGATTTTCTTTGCAAGCTTCTGGCTTAGATAAGTACTAAAAAAAATAATGAAGAGAAGCTAAGGAGGCTGCACCTTGCAGCTGAGAACTTCTTGCTATGCTGTGTTGTGTTTGAGGAGAACTTGAATAAAATGGTCTCAAAGAAGAAACTTCCTGTTGATATTTAAGTGAATACATGTATTGAATATCTGTTTATGCAAGGCCTGCCCCATGAAGTCAGTTACTTTATTAGTCTCAGGGTGCATTTAGGCTGAATGTGTTTCCCCTGATTTCTGAAGCCAGCAGAGGGTATTAGAAGTTAACCTTTTCAGGACATAAATTCAAATGCAATTTGTCATACTCACAGATTTATATGCTGTACACATGAGCTTATCAAACTCCTGCCTGGCTGGTGATTGAAACCATGACTTGTTACTTTTTAATGCAGTTAGAAGTGATGTAAGAACAAATTCTTCAAAGATTATTTTCCTTTTTATTGCTATAATTAGTCCTGTTTTGGGATGGCTTTTTATCCCCCTTCTGTTTATTAGAACAGCCTAATGTGAGGTATGTAAAGTTACTGTCATTAAATTTGAGACTTTTAATGGCAAATAATTTTAAATGTGAGGCAATTATATTTATTGAGACTCCCTATATATGGAATACTTGGTATATGGGTTAAGTGAATATTATACTTGAGGAAATGTTATTTCCAACTAGCTCTTTGACTGCGAGACCTGATCAAATACCTCCAGTTGTCCTTGCTGCTTCCTGGTGGGATGTCAGGTCTTTGTCATCCCTCTGCTCAGCTCTTCAGTATCTTCTCAGAGCCAGACCCTGCCGTGGCAGAAGGAGAAGGTTAAAATCATGCCCAGAGATCCCAGGTCAGAGACTAAAGGGCAGATCTCACTGTTCATCTCAGAGAGGAAAACCCAGCCTGTAGTTTCCACCACAGCTCCTCTGCTGGAAAGCAAAGTGTCTTAATCTTCTGGCTTTATGCTGCTAATTCTTCCCTCGTGCTGCATGTAATCCAAGATTAACAGCATTGTTTCCTAATTTTATTTTTGTTAGCTATCATGGAAATCTCATTAACTAAAGGGAACATCTAAAATGTCTGCAGGGCTTTATTTTTAAACAAATTAATACGATAATTTAGCTAACATAGTTCTCCATCACCCCCAGAAGTCTCTTCCAGGAATGGAGTTTCTCCTGGCTGTGGGTTTGATCACTTCTTTCAAAAAGAAAAATATGGACTTGATTCACCAGGTCTGACTGTCTCTTGGACTGAAATCTTTTCCTAAACTCTCACTTGCATTCTCACTGACAAAACATGTATTGCTAGTCTGAAGCAAGTTGGTCCATCTAGGAAGAAGCCTGGAGCAAAAGCTGCCACTGTTGGCTGCTCCAGGGTCTCATTCCCTCCATTTCCAACTAACTGGCTCTCAAGGTCTGCAACAACTTGTGGAAGCAACAAAGATGCTGCCACAACGATTTGAGTACAAGACCATTGAGAGGGGGGTTGTTTACAGCTCTGCCAAAAAAGACAAGAAAAACAAGCTACTTTTCAGCTTCAGGGGGGTTAAATGGGCCCCATCACCACCAGGAGGGGTAAATCCAACCACTGCTGTGGTGCTTTCTAAGGGAATTTTAATGGTGGTAGGGATGGGTGATGAATGTTAATGGCTGTAGTAGCTGGGGGTCCATCCATGTGGCTGCTTCCTCCAGAGAAGATATAGACCATTGGTCTATAGACCTAGAGAGGCCATTGGTTCATAGTGTGGTGAGGGGGCTGCCCTCATGTGCCCCAAACAGCTCTTGCAGGATGGCTGTGGAGGAGTTGAGACCAGTTTCATCTGACTAAACAATCCTCCTAATGGTGAAGCATTAAAATCAAGTTGACTTTTAGATCCCAGCAGTTGCATCAGGCAGGGTGATTGCACTCACCAGCAGGGCTGAGAATCAGTAAAATAGGTTAAACTATCGACTGAGAAATAGGAAGAGCTGCTTGACTCTGGCAGGAGAGCTGGTTTGGTGCCCCTCCTGCCCCCTGGAACTTCTGGCTGCCACGTGGAGGTTCAGGCAGATACCAGAGACTGCTCTTCATGAGCAGCACCTGCCTGCAGATCAGCACCTGTTGCAGCAGCACAGTTTATCTTCGTGTCTTCTAGGAGGACAGGTTGTAGAGTTCAGGAAGCAAGAAGCTGACTTGCTAAAGGGCCACAGGCTTTGCACCTGCTCCTGCTTGGAGCCCAAGCCATTGCTCAGCTGAAGGAGTTGGTCCTGGACAAAGGCAGAAGTCTGAGATGTTGGGCACATCCAGGCTGGGTGATCTGGAGCTGGGTCCTGCATCGTGGCCTCGTCCCTCAGCACTCTCCCTGGGCTGCAAGCAAGCAAAAAAAGTTTAAATGCTGAATATTGAGGGTTTTTTTTCTGCATTTCTGTGTCTGTTTTTTTAAGGTACAAAAGCTGGAAGCTTCCTACAGGTCCCAGGCTGCTGCAGCCCCCTCCACTCAGCTTTCATTTCCCCCTGGTAACAGATGAGCAGGACTGCTGGGCAGATGGTCCACCCTTGGCTCCTCAGTTACCCAAGTCCTCTATCAACAAGCACATGTGCCTTGTCCCCCCCTGCAGCACCAGCTGAGGGGCCCTGGAGCCGGGATGGGGTGATGGTTGTGCCCTGGCAGGGGCTGGAGCTGGGCCAGGGCTGCCTGTCCTGCAGGACTGTGCAACCATCCAATTGCTGGGGCTGGAAAAGACCTTTCAGATCACCAAGTCCAGCCCTGCCAAGGCCACCACTGCCCCACATCCCTCAGCAGCACATCTACCTGAAATCCCACCAGGGATGGGGACTCCACCCCTACCCTGGGCAGCCTGGGCCTGACAACCCTTTCCATGAGGAAATTCCTCCTAATACCTAATGTAAACCTCTCAGATGCAGCTCCAGCCCCGGCAGAGCCATTCCCACCAGATGGAGCAGTTGCTGTTCCAGTGCTGTGAGCAGGGAAACCCACAGGACCCAGACCCTGCAGCAGGGACCCCCAGAACAGCCCCCCGGCTCAGCTCCTGGGGTGTCAGGCAGCAGATGAGCCAAAAACCCAGCAGAAGCTCTGCCTCTGATGTGGTGCTGGTGCTGCTGGCACCTCCCTGGCTTTTCAAGCTCTCTCCATGCTGGGTTTTTTCTACCTTTGCCATTAGCAAAACGATTCTGTCCACCTGGTCTGGCCAAAATGCAAGGCAGGTGCTTGGAAACCAGGCAGGAGTGCTGCAGCTGTGGATGCCCTGTCCCCATTTAGGGAACCTGGCATCTTGGCTTTGCCATGGGCTGGAGGTGCCTTCCAGCTGCCTGCAGGTACCTTCCTGGTAACCAGTTTTTCACCTGATGTGCTGGAGGTGAAGCTTGGGCTCCAGGTAACCCTGAAAGCTGGAAAGCTCAGGCTGAGCTGCAGGTGTTACTGTGCAGAACTGGCCCTGAGCTGGTGAAATGTTAAGTTATGATTGATTGTTGCATCCAGCCTAATCTGTTTTTTTACATTGGGAGTAATATTATGTTCTATAATCAGACCTCATTTGTTATTTATTGCATCCTCTCCCTGCACAGATGTGGATGCTTTGCCCTGTCTCCTGGTGGATAATGTTCTTCCTGCTTTTCCTGGTGGGGCCTGGGGACCCTCTGTGGGACAGGGGGGAGCAGGAGAGAAGGGATGGGGAAAAGTCTGGCCCCTGAAACTCTGTGAAGTCTTTGCTTTAAAGGAATTGGCCAGGCAAGAGCTTTGAAGGGGGAAGAAGAAAAAAGGTGTGGGAAGAGGATTGATGGGAAGTGGAGTAAAGGTGCTGAGACAGAAGGCATTATCCTTGGGGTTGTCCTTGAAGGGGTTGTCCTGGGCCTGTTGTGGGCTCAGCTGAGTCACCAGAACAATCACTGCCAATGCCAGCTCTTTGGGGGTGTCTGAGCTGTCCCAGCCCAGGCACTGCACTGCAAGCCCACCTCTAATTAATAGCAGCATTTGCCTAAACGGATCAATGTCTGTCCTTGACCTCAATGCCCAACTTAAGCTATTACTGCATCACGAAATATGAAATGAACTATAATACATGGGAGAGGCAAACCACTTTTATTGAACCCGGGCACACAGCTGAGAACCTTTCATTGCAGGCAGTGAAAGCTGTGTGGTTGTATCTAAATGCTCCAGCTGCCAGAGGCTGCCATGAAAGGCTTCTCCACAGCTAATTCACTGAGGAGCATCACAGAGGCTAACCCAGTCCTCCAGCACACATCATCTCCCCCCTGAAGAGGAATTGGTTTGGGGAGAGGAGCTCTGCTG